TGTCCCGATGAGCTATTTCTTGTAATACTAAAAATAAAGGGGTAAGTACAATCACTCAATAAATAAGATCTATCTAACTTATACTAATGCATGGTAATCAATTTAAATACTAATGGAAAGGATATTCAATTTCAAATCATTTAACATGTCTAAGAGCATAATTCAAAATTCTCATTTATAATAACATATGCTCATGAGATAATGATTTAGTAGTACAATTTCATAAAGAAATAAGACTAATCACATGATTTATTTTACTAGGGTCATAATAAAGACAACCATATGTCATTTTATCACTATACGCATTATCACACCTCTTTTATATTCTTCTTATGCCTTTGACACGAAATTATGGGCTATGACATGTTGGGATTGTTTATACATTGAAACTACCTTAGCCAAATACACATGAAAGGTTACCCGGTCATGGTTGTCCAACTTACTTTTCGATCACAACTTCTCCCATTTATCACACTATAAAGTGTCATCTTCACTAAACTAGTTTCCTCTTTGAAAGAGTGGATAACTAGCTGTGTTTAAATTCCTCGTTGAACCAATGGGATAGTGCCTTTTTGAATATGTGGGACAATATGAATAATAAATCCAAATTAACCATCGAGCTCTGATGGAAACCTTACTGTGTAGATTTAGTTTCTTACTCCCTTCCTTAGGTGAACTCCTGCTTCTTAAAATCATACCGTGCATCAAAAATTTAATTTTTTATAGCATACAATTATTCCACACATTAACATGTCAATTCCCTTCACTGTACTCTATATTTTCTTAATTTACAATTGATCATAGAACTCCACATTACACATAATCATTAAACTTCCCAAAACACACAATCATATAACTCCATTTACAAGTAGTCATTAAACTTCACCTATCACACAATCATTGAACTCCTCATAATACACGCATTCTTTAAACTCCATAAATGACATATCTTAAGACCTCAAAAACACTATTTCATTGCACTTTTCACTCATCAAGTCATTGAACTTCACTTAACACAAAATCATTAAACTTCATTAACAAATCACATCATTGGACTCCAAAGGAAACACATAATTGAACTTTATAAGATCATTATATTGGATTTTCATTTAAGTCATGCCACACTTGCATTTTATTCAATTTTGCAAATTTTAATTATCAAGTATAACTCAATAAATCAATTAACACACAAAAGTATAAGAAAGAATTTCCTCGATTATCTTAAACTTTTGAGAGGTCAAAGGTTTATCCCTCGTCTTCATACTCTCAATGATTCCATGAAGCTTGAATGGTGCCAAATGTGATTACTTTACAATTAATCATTATATAATTTATTAATATCCCTTTTTGCTTAATTTTCACTATCCAGTTCAATACTTCTTCACTCTTAAGATTCATACCCCTCACATACAAAGGTACTCATAGGCTTTTTTTAAGCTTCTTTCAACTTTTATTAATTTTATTGAACTCTTAAATAACCATTAATAGAGCCATATTACTTCAACCACCTCATTATTAGTGGATTTTCGTCCATTTATGGCCCCAACCAACTAAAAACACATGGAATCATAAATGCTAGGTTTAGATAGCTCAATCAACTCCTATTAACTCTATTTAAGTCAATAGGTGTAGACTTATAGCTCTATGAGCTGAGAATCATCTTTGTAAACCAAACTCTAACTCCCATCATCAAGGAAAATAGAAGAGAAAGAGAGATTTAGGCTTAGAAAACTTACCTCTAGTATTTAGAAGCTTCAAAACACTTCTAATACTTCAACCTTTTAAGCCCTAGCAAAGTTTCTCGTGTCTCGCTTGTGCATCTTTTAGTTCCTCAATGTTTTTTGTCTATTTTTGTGATTTAATTTTGTAAAATTTGTACCATACATTGTGACATGTGATATAAAGAGGGGTCTTCATACACTACTAGCCCATGCGCCATGGCTTCTCGTGCATGCATTGCGGCATGTGTCACAGAGCCTTTTCTATTTATTGTTCTCATTTTTTGATGCTCGAGTGACCTGACTTTGCTTTGGACTTAATTCTAAGGCTGAAATGATAACTAAAACACCCACTCTCTATAACCACACACCCCATTAATTTACTTAATTAATCTTCATTTATTCAACTAATTAAGGGTTAAATTCTTCAGGATTTTACATGAGTCGTTGTTCTCAAGTTCATCCTTAAAGATTCCACACAAAACTTACTGCATGCAATTCACAACAAGTTGCTTGTATGGTAATATGAAATTGAAGAATTCCAAGGAAGCATTTAAGGAATGAAGCGGGCGATAAAGAAATCAAGTTTTGAGGTATGGGGAGGATTGAAAATGTTGGAGAATGGCATCTTTTTGGGATTCCAAAGTGATGGTGAAATTTTCTCGATTTCATTTGATTTGGGGGGGTTTGGGACAGTTGAGAACAAAGCATCTAAGTCACCTAAATGCATGGGTTTGCTTGACATTTCGTTAGATAGAAAATATGATAATATTGCTTGGACACCACTTGCATGCTTTGTTTCTTTCTCTTTCCCTTACTTTGTTCTTTTGTTTAGCTTCAACTGAAGCATTCATGGAAACTAGAGGGATCAAGATCGAGAATGAGCTCAGGCTAAGGTACGGTGCTTGTATTCTTTGTGAGGGAGAAAGAGGTGTCAAGCTTGGAGGGGGAGATGGCCGTGAGAGGCAGGATGTTAGAGGGTTCCATGAAGACGAGCAAGAAAAGAATGAGGAAGAAGAGGAACGACAAAATAGATGATATGTGTATATTTCATTGTCAAACCAAGAGATTTAATGGTCAATGTTTGTTTGGAATAATGATTGGATAACATTACACCCTTTTTAAAAATTTCAAGATGACATTACTTCAACAAAAAATTTAAAATACTAGATGCTCATTGTGAAAAAGTTTTAGAATACTTTTGCCCTTTAATCTTAGAAAAAATTATCAAAATTTGCTTGAGCCCATCAAGGCCAACAACACATGTATTTGCTTTTCAAATGGCACGGTCAATTGTGAGACGATTCAATCTATTGTGCCTCTCTATATATATTTGTATGTGTGCCTGCATTTATGGATAGCGAGTTTTCATTTGAATTAAAGTTTAACGAGGGCGTGTGTGTGTGTGCAAAGAACTGGGTTTAAAATTGTGAGTTGGGAAGCAAAGTGTGACAAATGAACATCAACAACGAAATTAAAGTCGACATTTCATTGCGCTAAATATTAATCAGTAATATTTAATGGCCTCTAAGTTGAAACTAATCGCGTCTTTATACTAAATATTAAATAAACCTCTCCAACAAGAAGCTAGCAGCTGGAACGTTCATCCACGGATACACTCCAAGCGTACTATATGCATTACAAGTCAACGATTGTGTTTTTTTCCCCCTTTCTTTTTCTGAGGTCACACGGAATTTTGATGTCAGGGATGACGATTGGCGATAGAAATATTAAATTAATTATAAGTCTCACTAACTCTGCTCTGCATGCGCGTATCAGCGGCATTATTACTATCAACTGTTTGTTTTGATGTATGCTGCCGTTGCCTTGCCATTCATTCATAGTTTATTATATTCATATGTAATATATATATATATATATATATATTGATGGTTGATTTTGATTACCTGAAATACTATTAAACTCTAAATCAAACTCTAAATCAACACTAGTATGGTCTTCAAGTACATAAACAAACAAGGCTTTAGAAGGAACTCGTACATACGGATGAGTAAGCATATCTACGGTGGTGTCTTCTTTATTGTAGTCCGTGGGAATTTTGACGTCATGGATGACACTTGGTGATATATATTAATCGAACGGAGTTTAGCTAATTCTTCCTTGCATGCGTAATGCCTCATTATTGAATATTTTGTTTTTATATGATGCTCCTTTTTTTTCATTATTATCCTTACAATTAAGCTGAAGTCCTAATCATTTTGCAGCGTCTGATAAATAAATTGCATTATTTATGATTTATAAATAATACAATTTGATATAAGTTTTGTATTGATATTGATGATTAATATGATTGATATCAATGTTTGGTGTTAATTAAACCAAGATAAGTCAAGAGAAACCCAGCAAAACTGAGTACAGGTTCTCTCTAGTTTAGTTTTTATAATGTTAAGATTGAATTATTATTTGATTTACTCATCGCTTTGGTTGAATTTGATTTTGTTTGAATCAAGCCGAACCGCCCAAGACAAAGAGATTTGGATTTAAATTCTCTGAATTTAATATTGGTGAATCTATATAAAATTTTTATTTTTAAGAAAGAGAGGGTAGATTTATATTTTATAAAAAAATAAAATGAATAAAAAATGCTAAAAAAAACTTCATACAAATTTGATATTTTTTTTTACTATTAAATACTTAGTTGACAAAACACGTGACATCTTAAATACTATACCACGTGTTTTGGTAAAAAATAGAGGTACCAATTACTCAATATTATTAAACCTTAGAGCGTTGGTTACTCTGTCATAAATAGCACTTTAAAAACAAAAATATTCTTTCATCTGAAATTAACGTGTTAACGGTCAACTTCAAAATATATTACTCAGAGGATCATATTGTATTAATTTTGATATTTGAGGCGCGGAATAATTCTAACAAATAATTTAGAATATTCAGTAATACTCGCAAAATAATTCAACGACAAAAAAAGCCCAGGCTTTGCGTGGTCAAATCAGTTGGTTTGATTAGGCTTACTTTTATCTAAAACTAATTAAACCAAACCAAGTCGTTGAAGTCTAATCACACAGCGGAGGAATATTCTGGGTTTTTTAGAGCCCAACAAATTATTTTAATTCTGGTCCTTGGGCCCAATAATTGCTTTGAGAGATTATCTTCCAATAAGATCACATGAGCCCGGCCCATTATATTCTCCCTAATGATCACGAGCTTACGGACGGAAAGAGGACCAGGAATGCCTTCCGTTTATCTTCAACAAGCATGTTGACGCAGAGAGAGAATTGAGCTCGCCATCTTACGGTAGCGTAGTCAGCTATGACTGTATCTCTGGGAGTGTCTCCCTTAGGCTCAATTTTAGTGCATTTACCTCGGCAATTAGTTGTTACTTCCACTGAAATTTTGCGAGCACGTTCTGTTTCAAAATTGGGCTTCCATTCTTTGCAGTTAAGGAGAACTTCGTCCCCGAGAAGGATCGTCATTCGAGCTGCCAGAATGGAGTCCACAAGGGTCACCTTGGGTTTTAGAGCCCCGGACTTTCAGGTGTCTACTCTCCTGTTCTTGGGTCTTTGATTGTCATTTTACCAAGGAATATACTAGTTCTTGAAAAAAAAGTTAATCGCCATTTTCCTCCTGTATTGTTGTTGGATGGATTTAATTAGCTTCCAGAGCCTCTCACCGGGAAAATATGGAAATTAGAAGATTTTGAAGGATACCCAGCCCTTCTGGTAAGATGGCATGTGCTAGACAGAGCTTCTGCTGTCGATCATTTCTGCTTTTTATCATATGTCTGCCTTGCCCTTTTGTTATATAATGATTTGGATTTTAAAATTGATGAGACAGTGCTATGAAATATGGATTATGAGAGACAAGGAGAATAAGACTTGAATTACTGATGATATCCTGAAACGTAAAGTATTAAAGAGAAGGATTCTGACTTCTGAGAGGGGAATGGTAAATATCTAAGGGTGCAACCTCATTCATCAGCAAACAAGTTTGTGCAACTCGACTTGAATTTATTTAAAATAAAATGCGAAGGAAAAGTCATACCATCTTGTCATTGAGAATAAACATGATTTAAATAATCTGTCTCTCAAGTTACTTTGCATAAATTACAGTACATGGTGTATATGTGAGTTAATTTTATTTCGTAATCTAGATTTATTTCTCTTAATTTGTTGGCATAAATATTCCATATTTAGAGTCTTAAGATAACATATAGTTGGAGCTGGTCATGCTGCTAATTTCTGGAATGCAGTCAGGGGTTTCAAAGGGATCATTTAGGCACTGTAAAAATTAAGCACGAGTAAAGATTTCACTAAAAACTTTTCAGGTGTAGCGTTCACTCAGTTTTTGCTTTCAAGGTTACACTTTCTATATTTTACTTAACATTATTTATAATTATATGGTTTATCAATAAAATTTAACACAATATTTGAGGGTGTTCTACTTGTCCCGGTCAAATTAGACGGGTCTTTCTAGGTCCTAAAAAAGGGACAGGATGAAAAGGGATTTAGGATAGGATGGGACATGATATCGCTCTTTTCCAGTCCCGTATATTACACACACACACACACATTCATACATATTATTTTTTCTTTTGAAAATATGTATTAAATATATTAATTGTATTGATATAATTTATTCTTATATTAATGTATTATAATTTCAATGTTTGCCATCTTTATTCAAAACTAAAAAGTCTTGATATAGATAATTTTAATGACACAGAGCAAGCAATATGAGTAATCTCATTTTTTACAATATGTTAATTATATTAATATAATTTATTATTATATTTATCTATTTAATAATATTTGTTTATATTATATTTTTTGCTTTATTTTTGGATGAGTTAATAGTTTCAAATATTTTAACTAAAGAGAAAGAACAATAACTTGATATTATGCTTGATTTGTTTGTTACTATTGCTCTTGTAATTTAGAGATCACTTTTGGCTATTGTCATGATGTGTTATCTCTTATGTGTACATGACTTTAAGTTATAAACTTGTAATTGTTATTGATGTAATTTAATAATTGAAGGACAAGATAACTTTCGATATGGGACGAGACAAGGGACAAGGGTGTTCCAGTTCTATCCCATCTTGTGAACACCCCTAATAATATTGATAGAAGTCTTTTTTTTTTTTTGCCAATGACATAAGTCTAACTGTATCTAAATCAAATTAAAGATATTACAATTAAAATAAAAAACCTAATTACAAAATTTTAAACTATGGGAACCAAATTGAAAATTGAATGGAAACTAGGGAAAATTAATTCATAAGTCCTTATAATTCTTCTCAATTTTAAATTAGGTTTTTGTAGCTTATTTTACTTGAATTGGACCCTTATAGTTTTTTAAATTTTGAATTAGCTCCCTGAAAGTTAAAATTCTTAATTTTTTTCTTTTTTTAAAAAAATGAAATTGAGCATTTTTATATTTTTATTAAATGATTATATAATTTTAGAATTAATTATATACTAATTTTTACAACTCAAACCTTATTTTATTTTTACATTTCATTGCCCGTATCTTGGAAAACATGGGTTATTATCACTAGCTATCTAGACTAATCCAAACTCCTACTGTATGAGATCATTACTACCAATAGAGGCGTCATGTATCTTTAGTATCTTTATTTAACACAACTACATATTATAGGACTTGACCTCAAAACTCTAGAATAAGCTAATTCAACTCGCTCAACCAGTTGAATTAAATGCCTCTTGATAAAATTTAAAATTTATATAATTAAATTATGTATTCTTAATAATTTTTGAACATATGGAATTTTCATAAAAATAAATAAATAATGGTCAACATTGTATCAAATTAAATTAAATTTTCTTTTTTCTTTTTCAGTCAAAGATATTAAATCAAATTTTCTATAAACACCAAAAGTGTTTTTGTTTTGAAAAAGTTAATTATTCATTAACATTTTAATCTTTAGGGATTAACATATTTAATGGATCAAATTATAAGGGTTTAATTCAAATAAAATAAATTATAGAGACTTAATTTAAAATTGATTGAAAAAACTATAAGGACCTGCGGATTAATTTTTTCATGAAATTATAAGGACTAAGAATAATTTAACCAGAGAACACTACAATGAGTGAAAAGGTCAAGTAACATGACCACAAATTAGAAGCTTCAAATTGTATTCACTAGTTTGTTAGTCTAAGAGATTGGGTACCAGTTAATCACCGAACCTGGTGATTGTTTTAAAATTAACTCCCTGACTTGCGAAGAAAATATTTTTGTAGAATGTTGACTCGATATGCTGGTTCCTATCTGCTTCATAGTTCATAGAGAGTTTGTCTTGGTCTAGGTGAACTACTTTCTTTTCTTTGATGCATTGAGCAAACATACTCAAAAATTATTTTTGTTCCTCTTCATTAATTATTCAGCCTTATTATATAAATTTTATGGGCGTTTTGGTAATAATTACCTCTCTAGTTGGAGTATTCTCTACTTTAATGAAAGGCTGTTCTCCTTCGTTGCTTTCAATGTTACCTCTCTAGTTGGAGTATTCACTAATTTAATGAAAGGCTGATCTCCTTCGTTGCTTTCAATATTGACCATGCTTTTCTTGGTTTTTTGGGTGAAAAGGAATATCATTAATACTATGGAATAATTACAATGGGTACAAAAGTATACAAAACAGGTAGGAAAACAAGTTAATACAAACTAAGCCGCATGTTCAATAGTTTTAACGAGATCATGGGCTTGAACAATAAATTCAACTAGAGCATAAGCCGAATTTACAATGGATTGAGGGGTGAGAATTTCATCAGCAAACATTCTTCTGTTTCTCTTAGACCACAATCTCGAATTGAGTAGGCCGAATCGGAGTCTCCAGTGAGTACCGACCATGCTTTTCTTGTTTTAATTTATGTTTTTCACTTTATGTTCACACAGGTTATGTTTATATGCAATCACTGTCCGTTTGTCAAACACCTGAAAAAAGATATAGCAAAGCTTACAAATTTCTACATGCAGGTAGCAAATTTGTCTACCTCTTCTTTTAGCAGAAGCATGTACTTGCATAAGCAAAATGTTAAAAACAATCACCTTTTGTCTTCCTACAGAAAGGACTTGCTGTCATTGCTATTTCTTCAAATTCGGTGACCACACATCCCCAGGTTCTTGTAATTTTATATTTGACGATAAAGCTTTTTTGAAGCTACTGTAGTTTGTCCAACATGGGATAGTTTGTCAGGATGGACCAGAATTTATGGCCGAAGAAGCTAGGCTGTTCAACTATCCTTTCCCATATCTCTATGATGAGGTATGCTGCAGTAAATTTCAACGTGTTCATTGTTAATTATTTGCTTTAATAGCTGCACGAATGCTTAACTGGCTTTGTTTGTTCACTGTAATTATCAACTGACTACTTTTGGTGAAAATCAACATCGTTATGTTCACACACACACACACTAACATGATGAACTCATTTGTTAGATTCTCTATAGTCCACTTTTACAGCTTAAAATTGGGCTGCTTGTCCTCCTGTCACTGACGTGGAATGAATTTGATACTGATAACTGGTAGATAGAACTATTTCATTCATAAAATTTATTGCATATTCATTCTGAAGTTTTGAGAAATCTGAGACCTGATATGAAGTATATCCCTAGGAATACCAATTTCTCAAGATATGAATACAACACAATGCAACTCGTTTATCACTATATTTTCATTAGCATGTGTTAAGTATTTATTTTGTTTCTTAGTCATACTGGCAGATGTATAATAATTTCGGAACTCCCTTTTCTGATAGCATGTTCTCATGAAAAAGCAACAGCAGAGGGTTTTTAGCTGACAAGGTTGATTAAAAACAAATAATTTATTGAAGAATTCATGAATTCTTCATTGTCTTTCTCGAATTTGGTAAAATCTCACATGATCTAGTGGTATGTGTTGGAGTGCAGTCCCAAGATGTTGCAAGAGATTTTGGAGCAGTCTGTACTCCGGAATTTTACCTATTTAAAAAGGTAATCACTTCTAGGGCGCCCTGTCTCTTGCAAATTGATAGGTTAAAATCTACCTTGTGAACTGGCATATCGGTTTCCTTTGTGGTTCAGTATTAATCCTGAATTTACAAAGGTTTGTGCTGGAGAGAGCTGGTAATGATATCCACTTCTTTGTTTGTTTGTTTGTTTGTTTTTTCTTTTTTGGGTATCAGTATCCACTTCTTTCTTTGAAATCCTAAATCAACCCTATTAAATGACAGGATGGGCGGAGGCCGTTTGAGCTAGTTTATCATGGGCAGTTTGATGATTCACGGCCCAATAGCAATGTGCCTGTCACTGGAAGGTTGGCTTCTTTAACTCTCAGCTTAAATTGTAAGCCAATGGATTTATCTTCACATTTGGTAACCTGTAAATTTGTTTAATAAATAAAGGGATCTGAGTTTGGCGATAGATCGAGTTCTTAGTGGCCAGCCAGTACCATCAGACCAAAAGCCCAGGTAACACGCTTCGCTATTTCTTTCAAATGTTCGGGCATCTTTGGTCACCGTCATGATCACGTGCTTAGAGTCATCATTTTTCTTTTTGTATGAAGTATTGGATGCAGCATAAAGTGGAACCCAGGGAAGAAGCTGGAATAATGGGAACTGCCAAAATCTCTCTCAACATATTCATGTGAGTTCCAGTTTCTCATTCTCTCCAAGGTGTTCTGGGATTTAGCGATTTACAGCCATTGTGATTTTGAAATATGCGACATTTACTGTTCTTTTCTTTTCTTCCAGTGTTCCTGTTTCATTCCATCACCCCGAGTTTCTAGAAAGTACTGTTTAAAAGGCAATAACGGTGTGCTGGCTGATTCTCCTGTTTGATGTATGTAGTATTGTGACTTATTTAACACGAAATTACATAATACGTTGAGGCTTGAGACAGTTGTTTTTACCCCCCGCTTATCAGTAGGCATGTGTTGCAACCAGTAGTTCTATTTTGTAATTCTTCTGGAAATTTTCCTGTTAGTTTTTGTAATATGAAAAAAGTTGACGTACTTGCATATATGCTTTGCAATATCACGGAGCGCGTTTGGGACAGCTTTAAATTGAATTTAGATCGAGTGGGTAGTTTAAGTTCACTCATTCGTGTCTCATTTTGATTAAATCAAATGACTATATAAGATTTTGTTATATAACATTCAGAAAATGCCAAATCTCAAATTTTTAAAGGGGACAATATATGTGAGGGATGCTCTAATCATGAGAATTGTTTTAAATTTTTTGAAGAAAATATATCCTATAATTTTCATATATTGATGAAATTCAATAGTTGTAATTAAAACATTTATTAAATGAATAAATTTAAATCACTCACTGAATTTTAATCCCTTTAAATTTAGTTGTTAATGTTATTATTATTTTTTTGGTCAACTCCAGAGTCAAAGTAATTTTATCATGCAAATATAAGCTTGCAACGTAAATTCATGCAGTAACTTTGTAAAAGTTTGCATATATTAGTAAATAATTATTAAAATATTTAACTATGCAGTTAAATGTAATATGCAATGACAAATTTATTTCAATATAATTCAAATTTTATTAATTTAAAATAAATTTAAGGGTAAGTCACATTAAAGTTCCAGGTAAGGAATTCAATAGTTAATAGGTCCTAATTGTGACAAAGCATCACAAATGACGTGTAAATACTACATAGGTTAACATGTAAAGGGGATCGATAAATTACTCGCTTGGGACCTTACTTGAAACTTCTGCGTGATTTTTTTCTAAATTTATTTTTATTTTACAATCCGTGATATTCAACGTGAAAACTTATATGTCTAAATAGATATTCCTAATTTAATTTTTATAAAAATAATTTTATACCAATGTTATTTTATCATACTAAAATTTTGTATCTGATTTGTATTGACCTTTTTTCTACATGAAATTTAAGTATAGTATTTTGTATTTTATATCGACAGGTTGGACTGTAGAACTACAATTATTTTTCTATACTCATTTTGAAATAAGTGTTTATTTCATATTATAAAACTTCGCTATATATTATTAGCAAGTGTTCGTTTGTGAACAATAAATATCAGACATGTCAAAGATGTTGAGTCTCAGTTGATAACAAAAAAGTCCTAAATTTTCTTACTACATTTCACTCGGATGTAAAAAATATGCAAGATTTGATAGAACAGATGTTTTTTTATTTTTATTGAAATTTAAAAAGATTACAAGGTTAAATTGAAGGTAAAAACTAACTATTAAATCTAAAAAGCTATGAGTATAAAATGCGAGTCTTTGTTAAGTGTTGATTGTCTTTCTTTTGTGTTTTTGTATTCTATTTATAGTGTTAGAGTGATGGTAGCCTCTTCCTTAAAATCTAGAATATTCTATCAAAGAATCAGGGATCTTCATGGCACGATCTTTACTCAGTGTTCTTTATTTTTGATAATCAGCCTGTTTCATTAAGATATTTAGGCACGATGATACTACTCTTGTGTATTTTGGGATCACTTGAGATCGTGTCTTTATGTGCCAACAATCCAATGTTTACAACTAGCAGGATTTCAATATGTTCATCCTATTGTGACCTTTTATTAAACTCGAGGCCACTCCCTTTGCTCAAATTAGGATTGACTCTTCAATCATTCAACTCAAATAGCTTTATAACCTATCGACTGGTGTCTCATATTTTAATTCATACAGTAAGCTATGAAGTCTAAATGGTCACATTATATTGCCTGGTTAGAGTGATACGCTGAAATAGGATACATGCTAGTGTACTTCCCCCCCCCCCCTAAAAAAAATGAAATCGATTTGCACTTTTTACTTCTACATTTCTACATTCACTTTATAGATAGAGAATATACACATTGCTTTGCAATGATCAAAATGAGTCCATGCAAAACCTATCCATATTATGTTAATCGAAGGTCCATCCAAATTTAAAGGGATCCAAGTATAAAGTTTACTAGATTTACTGAATTAATATCGTGAACTCAACGACTTGATTGAGCTGGCTATAAAGATATGAATATTATAAAACAAGGGTATTAAAAATATTATAAAAATAATACATTACAATAATTAATAAAATAAATTGATTTAATAAAATATTTGCAAAAAATTGTAATGACGATTATTAAATCAATTTTTGTTATAGTTTTTTATTATAAATTTTTGAATTTGCTTTAAGTTTTATTTGTATTGTAGGTTTTTGGGGAAAAAATTCTTATTTCTAGGTCAAAATAAACCCTTATATTAGCGAAAACCAGAACGTAGCATGAGATCAAGCACAATCTTTAATCATTTAGCACTGCTATCAAGATGTGGCCCTGAAAAAAAAAATTAAAATTAAAATTTCATTTGCTTGACCTATATGTAAAGGGCAGACATGCGCTTTTATGCGTTGTTGTTGTCTTGTTCTTTTTAGTCACAAAAGGCAATTTACTCATCATCCCGATCAGAGAAGATCGCATGGCTTGCATGAAGATATCCATCCATACAAGTTTATTTGGCGAAGCTATTAACACTCGAAAAAACTCGTCTTCTTTGTGGCACAATGTACTCGAATTGTCGTCATCAGCGTGACACGTCCTCCTTGCTAATTTCTGATATGCTCATCCGGCGAAATCTATTATTCTAAGACACTTTAATTGAGTATAATAGAATCCTCCTTTCATTGCCTTTGTCGTTATTGTTTCTTTAGTACACTTGTCTGCTCCCAAAAATCTGTGTGGTAGGTTCTTATATGCATCTATTTTGTATCATTGATTCCGCCCTACAATTCAGATTCTGCCTCCAAAATACACGTGTAGTGTCTGATCATGTCTGCTGTAGCATAAATTCGCTAAACATGGTAGGTTGGTTGTGTAAAGAAAGAAAGCGATAGGTCATAGCTTCTCATATGATGATTCTCCTTTTTTCCTTGAATTCAGTTTCATTCATGGCTGATTACAACACCAAATCTATTGAATACCATCACTGTAGCTTTTTTCTTTTCTCTTTTCCTGCTCTACAGCATGATTGTTTGGTATCAGCTGTGGGCAATTCTTGCCTAATCCTCACTGTGTTTATAATTAACAAACAAGATTAATCCGAGCATGTGGAACCCAGATAGAGATAGGAAGAATTCTGTGGCTGCAGATAATATATCTGAGCTCTATTTGTCAAATTGTACTTTTCTACGAGTCATTCCACATATCCTCCTTCCCATTCGAATTTTATTGTTATAATCTACAATCCAGTAGATTATATAATATGATGTTCTGGATCTACATCGAGATGTACAATCTTAACCTTTTCACTTGAGGTTCATGTTTCTTGAATGGGAAAATTCTGTGGTTACTTAACATGGGTGATTGCTGGCGTTCTTAACTAGTGGACATCTGATCCATTGCACTGTATCTGTAGGCCTAGGATGGTCTCCTATCACATGACTAAGAGCTACGTATCTTTCATGAACATGGATCACCGGATCTCTCTATCTTCACAGAAATGATTGTTGGGACATTTGAGAGGGTGGTGGCCCAGATGCTTCTCTATGATTTTTGCCCTCTATGAGCTTAACGCCAAGATAGACCCTGTCAGCTAGGCTTTTCTCTGGCCTTTCTCTCCATTCATTTGGATGCCGTGTCCGTTTTCCCAGGTTCCTTATCTAATAGATGCTAAGGTTAATTCAACCTATGAAAGTCAGTTACTTTAACACGCTGATCAATATGACTACTTCCTCTGCCATTTGTCGTCGGCAGAAACAGGTCTTTTAGACCTGAGTCCTCAAAGAATGCTCTTTACTGGACTGGATTATGCTGTACTCTATTGCTATGTGACAAGACTGTTACATCCACTTACAAAATAAATTATACACGACACTGTATTTTATTCTTATAAAAAGGATACATGAATGATACTCTTTCTATGAAATGGCGGACTTACGAGGGATGGATGGTTCCAGTATCTTTGGTTTTCTTTGAAGTTTGAACTGAAGAGTTAGCCTGTATATGTATAGCTTCCATTCAAAAGGCAGATATATGGAATAGCTATTTGATACTAATCTATACAATTATTTTGTCACTTCGAATGAACAAATATATTAATTAACGTGAGGGGATTAGGAAGAAGATGACGAGGAGGAGGATTCTATTAGTGGTTCACATGATCTGGAGAAACTTGAACAGTGAACTGCCACTTTTGGATTGGTGACTTCTCCTTTTTGGAGAAAACTTGGTTTCTCGAAAATGTCAGTTTCATGCCTGATCTCCTTGAGCATTGCTGTTACATCTTTCATGGTGGGTCGTTCCTCTGGGGATGGATTTACACATAAGAGAGCCACCCCTAGCACTTGAAGCATCTCTGGCGTTCTAGTACCACATTGCAATACTAGTTGCTGGTCAAGAATTGAGGTGAATTCCCTTTTCTTCTCTCTGATTTCCCTGCTAACCCAACTGACAATGTGGGCACCCTCTGGAATCCTATTATCAGTTGGCTCCATCCCCGTTAACACCTCCAGCAGCACCACACCATAACTATACACATCACTTTTCTCTGTGATCCTTAGGCTGTATCCATATTCTGCAGTTTCACAGAAGAATCCTCTCATTAGTCACAAGTCAATTGGCATGGGAAATGAACCGACATAATGATAAAAAGTTGGTTTTTTTAACAAATCAATGATACATAGCACAGAAAATTACTAACTGGTTTAAGGAGCCTCAGAGCAGATATACTTACCGGGAGCTATGTACCCATAAGAGCCTGCAACTATGGCAGAGGCTTTTGAACACTCGGAGGAATTCACCAATTTTGCAAGACCAAAATCTGCAATAAAAGCTTCAAATTGTGGTCCTACCAAGATGTTGTTAGCCTTAATGTCCCTATGGACTATTGGAGGTATACAATCATGATGCAGATATTCTAAACCTTGAGCTGCTCCCAGTATGATCTTATACCTTGCATCCCAATCCAAGAACAACCTCTTTTCATGGAGCAACCCGCACAAACTCCCATTGCTGATATAATCAAATAGAAGTAATCTCGTTCTTCCATTGTTACAGCATCCGAGAAGCCTGACTATATTTTTATGTCTTATTGATCCCAACGTCT